TAAAAAAAAAAAAAAAAAAAAAACTAGGGCATGGGGAGGCGAGTTTTAACGCGTGGAGAAGGACGCGGGTTGACCTTAACTCGACAGAACCGCCACTGTCTCCGACACAGCCCCCACGCTAACCCAGTGCTACACGTTCGCCAATGCCTCTATTTTAATTAATATCTTTATTATTATTTTTTTATTTAGCTTAAATCTCATAAAAATTATAAACCACCGTCATTTAAAACATTAATCTTCGTTGAAAAACTTAATTTTTATTTTTAAGGTACACAAAACACAACTCTATTTTCACATGTAACGAAGACAATAGGTTATTTATTAATTATTCAATTCATTATATTCTTTATTATGCTATATGGAAATTATATAATAAGATTATAGGAGAATACATTATTTGTGATGTGACTCACGAAGTCAAAGGTATTATATAACAATATTCCCATCCCAACTTCATCCTTTGAAGACAATTTAATAGAAAAAATAAATAATTAAGAAACAAAAACAAAACAAACCTTGTTATTTGTTTCTTATATTTATATCCGACTACTCGGATATGACATTGTTAATGTATTATTAGATTTTGCTATAGATGAACTTGATAGACCTAAAAATATTTCCCTTCAAATATCTTAATTTATTATCGTGTAACAATATAGATATTCCAACGTCTTTGTTTATACCATAAGTTGATTCTCTTCGCACATTTGTTAATGAGTTATTTTCTCATTTTATATGCACATACCTTCTAGTCTCATAAGTCAATTCTATTTTTTTTTTTTATGGATAAAAGAAGAGATATAGCTCCGCTATAGAGTGTCAACTTGATGTGACGGAAGTTACCAATTTGAGTCTAATTATTCCTAAACCCAATGTGAGTTTTTTTTTCCCAATTAAATAAAATGGTATCAGAGCTAGATTCCGGATGATGTGTCAGCCTTCTCGCTGTTCTTTGAAGGGGTAGACATGAGGCGGTGTGTCAGTAAAGACGCCGGACTCCAAAGGGGTGGATTTGATGGGGGTCCCACATCGATTGAAGAAATGAACAAGTGCCAACGAGGACGTTGGGCTTCGAAGGGGGTTGAATTGTGATGTCCCACATTGGTTGAGGAGGAGACCTGTGAAAACCTTCCCGCTTATCAACCGCGTTTTAAAGTCCCGAGAGAAAATCTAAAAAGAAAAGTCTAAAGATGACAATATCTGCTAGCGACCGGCTTAGATAAGGAATTGACGCGAGGGAGTTTGGATACTTGAATTATAGATATATATATATATTATTGGAAAGAGATTTGGAATCACACGCCTCCCACTCCCGCCCGTGAGAGAGAAAATTGAGTGATGGAGTCAAACACAAATCTAACCATGGTTAACTCTAACCCCCATCCTCCCCCCTTTTTTTTATATAGTTTAAAAAATAAAAATAAAACCCCCTCTCTCCGGCTCCCTATAGTACGGAACAAAAGAAAAAAAAAAAAAAAATGGTGACGCGTGTTCCCCCTTGTACAACGCGTTTTCTTGGTCCTTGAGGGCGCAACCGCCCTATTTAACCTCCCCTCTGCCTTTCCTATCCCTCTACCATTTAATTTTCCCCTTCACTCCGATTCCGATTCCGATTACAATTCCGATTCCGATTCCGATTCCGATTCCAATTCCAATCCCAATGGCCTCCTCTGATAATCTCACAACCATCCTGGATCCATGGGCCTTCCGCCCCTCATTTCAAGACCCATGGATTTCCGATGTCTTCTCCAGAGAAACAGACGCACTCTCCAACCCCATTCACTCCGACCTCTTCTCTTCCTTTTTCGACTTAATTGCCCCTGATTCTACTCCCACTCCCACGCCCACTGGTTCAGGAATCTCCGCCGACCCCGAAATCCCCGCCCCCAACCGACCCATCTCTTCGATCCCCCCCACCGGACGGAAAATCACCAAGAGGAAGTCCAGAGCCTCCAAGCGGAACCACACCACATTTATCACGGCCGACCCGGCTAACTTCCGCCACATGGTCCAGCAGGTCACGGGGGTCAGATTTGGCAACTCCCACCTTCAGATTCCTCCGCTTTTAAAGCCGGAACCGCAGAGGCCAGCTGGGCGCTTCACTGTCTGCGACGCTGATGCGGATGCTGATGCTGGACTGCCTACCCTCGACACGTCGGCTTATTTGCTGAACCACCACCAGCAGAACTCCGGGAGTGGATCCGAGATAACTGGGCCGGGTTTTGGGTTGTCAAATGACGCCCTTATCGGGTCGGATTTTGATACATTTTCGTCTTTTCCCACTCTCGAGTCGTGGAAGGCGGTCATGTGATGGAAAATCACTTTTTTTTTTTTCTTTTTTTCTTTTTTCTTTTTTGGAAATTAATATTTAGTAATTCAAAAAAAAAGATGCTAGGGGTGGACATATTTTTTTTTCTCTTTTTTTTTTTTTGCTTTTGGAAATCTATGTAATGGTAAAATATTTATAAATGCTATTTTTCTTCCAAAAAATTCAAAAGATTTATTCTCAGTTGTTTCCAGAACGACGTCGCATTGTACTTTTTGACTTGGCTTGGATTTCAAAATTGGTAGGAAGCCTCGTATCTTTGCCATAATGTATTGAATTGCTTTTTCTTCAATCTTTTTTTAATAACTGTTTCCCAAGTTTGAGCATAATTGTAATATATATATTAATAAAAGAATGACTAAAATTTTAAAACGGTGAAGAGATGAATACTAATTTGAATTCGTGAAATCTAATCTTATTAATCAGCAATGCACGTAAGTTAATATTGAGGAAACCCGCTCTCTCTTCTTTTTTAAAAAGAAGTAAATATTTTTGGACAATTAGAAATGAAACCTACGATAAAAATCCACTATTTTGGTTCCTATTTTCAAACCAATTTTGGGTTCTTTGGATGAAGTTGCTTCATAAAGTAAAGCATACAAACTGTGATGACCAATTGTAGGGAAGGTTCATGAACTAAGATAAATAAATATGTATTATAATAATCATTTCAATTCTTTTATGTCGTTACAAAAAAAAGTGACAAATACCTAAACTCTTCAAAACTTAATTATATATATATTATTTTTTATAATTAAATTCACCGAGAGATATTAAGTTTTATAATTAAATTGAGTTAATTAACAAAATATTCAATTAATTGATTTCAAGACAGAAGAAGAAAAGGTATGGATAAAAAAGAAGAAGCACTCTAATGTACAAAATATTTGAAACGAAAAACGTTGATTTAGACGTATCGAGGCAACAAAAATAAGAAAGCTTTCTCATCCTGTCGTGCCCCACAGATATCTTTAACGATAACCATGTGTACGTAGTGTTTATTGAAGAAATCGACTAATTAGACGAGTTGAACATCCATGTTTATAGATAAGTGATGTATTAGAGGACCAAATTGAATAGCGCATAAAAAAGTTAAAAGTTGAAATGGTATGAAAATGTGAAGTCACATCAAGTAAGATTAAGTAATTAATGGTGTAAAGGTACAAATTGTTATGTGAGTAAATAATAATAAATAAATAAAATTATTGATTTAGAGTCAAAAAGTTGAATTAAAGAAATGAGTAGCCAACGTGTTAGGTAGATGTGCAGGCTGAGTTTGGTCTACAAAATATTTAAATATTTGTTGTTTTGAAGGTTTGAAGATGCCGAGAGGCCACCTTGGGCAGTCTCCAAACAGACTCAAATGCACATGGGCTCGCTTCTCATCCTTTGACCTTTTTTCTTTTTTTTCCAATATGGTTTTATTATATTTTCCTATAAAATAAAATATGTGTCGAATCCGATCAAACTCAAGGGCAAAAATGGAATATAATTCCCATCCTCGATTTCATTCCGTTTAGTTAAATGGAAACAAATCTCTCTTCCTTCTTTTATTCTCTAGAATATATATCTAAAAAGTCTCTTCTCTCGAGCATGGTTATTTCAAGATCGAGACTCGCTATTGACCAAACTGAACTGAAAAATTAAAAAATAGAAAGAATCGTAAGCGGGATATATTTTTTATTTGGTGAAAAAGAAAAAGGATGGAAGGATGTGGGGGGAATTACACATATCAAGGTCCACAGGGGAGAGTCGTGTTAAGGTCAATGTCGACCCGTTGCAAATGGACAGAATACCATACATTACCATCCAAAATTGAATCAAATAATTATATAATATAGTTTTTATAAATATCTTTTCTTAGGGGTGGGGGGAATATTTTTTCTGACACAAATGTAACGTATGGGTAACATGGGGTTTTAAAGAATTTTTTAAAAGAATTTTTTAAAAGAATTTTTTAAAAGAATTTTTTAAAAGAATTTTTTAAAAGAATTTTTTAAAAGAATTTTTTAAAAGAATTTTTTAAAAACAATTAAATAAGCTTTGTTTTGCAGCGAAGACTTGACTGATCAAGTAAACGGTGCCGTTGCTATCTCTCTCTTTCCGTGGGTCCTAAAACGCACCGCATTGATTCATGCTTTTGATTTTTGTTTATTTATTATTATCTTTTTTGGCATTTGCTTAATTGGTTTATCTTCATCAAAATAATACTTTTCAACTCTTCGTTGCATTGCAATCCAAATCATTCAACACTACTTACTTTACAACTCACAATTGCTTCTTAATAAAATATTTTTTTTTAAAATACAAAAATAATATTATATTTCTATCTTATTTTACGAATCACAATCGCTTAAATTAATAATGGAAAGATTTATATATTTAATGTCACATTTTCATTCATTGTTTAACATAAATCTAAATCCGTTTAGTAATACGATACTTTATAGGTATAAAGCTTATTAAATGGAATTAAAAGTAAATATATATAAAAATTGAAATTCTTTTTGGTCCATACATATATATTTAAATTTTTTTTATTAATTAACTGAAAATTATGATTATTTACTTTTCTTAACCAAATGGGTCTCCAATTATCGAATTGATTAGGTAAAAAAAAATTACTTAAAAAAGGGTTAAGTTATTTAAATTAGTGTTAAAAGTTTGAGATTAGTTTAATTACAGTCCTATATTTTACCTTTAAATTTGGAAATAATTTTACCATTAAAGGTGGTAACAAAAATTGAATGTGGATGAAGCAAGAATTAGTTGACAGTAAAGAATAATAAAAAAAAAGAAAAAAAAAAAAGAAAGAAAAGGAAGAAAGTCAAAGTTTGCGGGCTGTACTTGATTGTACACTCTCAGCCTTTTCTTTTCGCTTAAAAAAATTATAATATTATGAGAATATTATTTTTGTTCACATTATCCTTTCGAATTTTATAAATCATTTTTTTAATAATATATTCCACGTCATTTTAAAATACCCATCGGTTTATACTGCCCACTCACCTCACGCCACGTTTTTCCATCTCATCTCTCTATCCTAAATCACTTTATATAACTAGGAGTTATCCTCTGCGGTCGTGCTCATTTCAGATGCGTGGACTCCTTCGTCACTGCTTACGTGAGAGAGAGAAAGAGAGGAATTTTCAATATGGGTCCTACTTGAAAGGATGACGTGTCAATTAGTTCTTTGTATGTCGTTGTCGAGCTGTCACTTCATCACGAAGAACGGACTTACAGTTTAGATTCTTGATGACGTCATACTTGCGTTTAGACTACGTCTTCTTTTATTTATATTTTCGATTTTATTAAGAAGGAAGTTCCTTTTGTTTTTTATTCGGTTAAAAGGTTTTTAATTGACAGCCAATTTTTCATTTAACTAATAAGTTTGGTTTTTTTTTTAATTATTTCTTGAAAGGGTAAAGAAAAATAGAAATAAAACACATTATTATTATTATTATTATTATTATTATTATTATTATTACCACTGTTCTCCTTAACCATATATTTGAATTCTTAATAAAATAAAAAAAACATATTTTTAAAAATGATAAGAAATTAATAATAATTTTTAAGAATTTATTGCATTAATGTTTTACTTGACATTAAACTTCATAAGAGGGAATTCAATAATAATTATATCTCTTTTCGAAACTGAGCGTATGAACACTTAATTGTATCAATCTTCCCAAGTACAATGAGATGGTAAGCTTTTGTAACGAACGATCCAATTTTTGAGAGATTCGAGTCATGGTCTATAACTTACGGACGTAGAATATTTAAAATACACATAAATTTAAAGCCTTTAATACGTGCATGCAATGACGGGTAGGCCATTTAACGATCAAAACCAAGTTCATAAAGCTTAAGAATACAGAAAGAGAGACAAGGCAACTATCTAATCCAATCTCCATATTGCATTTTTTTTGTGTATTTCTGAAAACATATTCGGCAAAAAAAATGAATCTATAACAAATTATCATAGATTGACCAAAATACGGACTTCGGGCCAGCTATAGGTTCGAATCCTACCACCTTTCTTGTGGATCATCCTGTGGTTATTGGATGATGGGAATAAGAAAGCAGAAATGAGGAAATTAGCACGGAATGTCAATATATGAATTGTTTCATTATTCGTTATTTCCCCGTCTTTTCGTTGCATGACTCCACGACAAATGAAGCTTTTTACCTATCATGTAACGATCTCTCTGTGAGCTTTGAAGGAGAGGATGACATTCCATGCCAAGGCAAGGACATTAGCTGCAAGGACCTGAAATAAAGACGAGTGCTGTGTTTGAAAGGCATGGTTTTCAATACGTATCGAGATATTGTTGTTGTGTTTACAAAAAATCATTACGCACCAAAGCTCAAAGGGAGGTGTGGAGTTTGACAAAGGATCAAACCTCCTCCCACAAACTTTCGAACTCCTAAAATCCTATCGTTTCATAAAACGGCACGACAACTGGCATGCCGAAGAAACCGGGCCGTATCCCGAAATGGTGCAAGAAGAACAGAACAGAAACAGGATAAAATGTTTACATACCTGGAATTGTTGGGGAACAAATCTGAAGTTGAGAAACTGGAAAGGTATCCAGAGTTTCCAATTAGCCACAACAGAAGAAAACCATTCCTACAAAGCAAAAAAACAAGTTTGAGGCTGAAATTAATAACAGATTGCTTCTCTCTTGTTGGAGCAGAAGATGTTCAATTGGAACCTGTTGAAGCTTGGGAATAATATGGGACGGTCGCCCTTCCAATGTTAGTAATCCAGCCAGAAACGCTCCAAGGAACACCGGAGTAAACACGAACTGCCATCGTTAAATTCCATTAACAAACAGGACGTCGAGTTAAATTACGTACTAAGAACTGACTTCTAATAGCTGGATTACCTGATCAAGAAGAAGGCGCAAGAATGCACCTGAAGCTCCTGGCAGGGTCACCAATTGACTTAGATACAAATACCTATAAGTGTTCATCCATTAAACAAACAAGTATCTAAAGATAGTTCATGAAGGATTACAATTGAGTCTTCATTTTTAAAAGATAATTGAGACATG